GAGATTTCTTCCCCCCTTTCCCCATCTCATCCCATCCATGTCTCCACTCTCCCACTTCCTCTATCTCAGTTTCTGACTATTATTTTCCTACAACACCTAACAAGTTGAAGCATTAAAATATCACACTTTTTATTTGCAGGGTTTGAATGGATATAGTTTTAAAGGTGATTTGGAGAGCGGAGCTTCTTTTTTTGTTCGTAGGTTCGCTCCCAAGGTATTTTTAATGTATTTCCTAGTAATTATGCCCTTTTTAAAAGGAATTTTATTAGGTGGCTTCCTCTTTCTATGTCATCATGCGATTTTTCATTGTTAAGGATTTCCTTCAAACTTTTACCATTTTAACATGAACAATATTATATTTTGTGCCATTTATTTCCGTAGAATACATCTTTTAGACTGAAGCACCTATCTAAATTTTTGCTCAGCTTGGTTGTCTGCTCTGTTGATTATATGGATGGGAACAACCTTGTACTAGTGGACTTCTAACTTAATTGAATTTTCTGGGGGCCTTTTTTTGTGTACTAAATTCATTCCTGGATTGTTAATTGGATGAAAGCAACCACCTTGAGATATTATTGTCATTTTATTAAGGTTCTCATTACTGATTCAATGTCTTAAAATGTTCATGGCATCAGTTGGAAAAAATCCTTGGTGATGATTCTGTACATGTTGATTGGAGGCGTTCATTCTATTTGAACTTGATCGCGCATACATCATACACGGTGACTGTTGCGATTTGCAGGTATTTATCTATCATTCATAAATGCCATCCTTCTTATCGCACTTTGTTACCAGATATTCTGGTTATTGCCAATATAGTGGTGCTTAGTAAGTGTACATAATATCCAATCGTAAGGTTAATATGACATGATTTACATTTTCTTGACCCTCAAATACCTCAGCAAGATGACAACTAACCCAGTGACCTATTCCAATTTACAAGCATGTATTGATAAGTTCATTTGCTCATCACCAACACATTAAAAGCCGAAGTAAGCATTAGAGCTGTTAAATCCAAGCAACATCCAAAATATTATTTGCATGAAATAAAGAACAAAATTAACTATCTTATCTATGACCCATTCATTTTAAAAAAGGGTTCTAACTTCTTACACATTTATTGTAATTAAAAAAAAAGCAATAGAAGTCTCATTATCTCATAGCATGCATGTTGATAGTTTCTCACCACAAATACTTATTTAAGTTATCTTTGTAGTTGTAACTTCCGTAACTGTTAATGACCTCAAAATTAATACCCTATTTGGAAAACAATATTATACGAAGGGATGAGCAGCACTAAACTCAATAGTTTGTTCCCACTATATAAGATAAGTACACATAAACGTAAGTCAAAATGCATAAAAAAACCCATCAAAGCCATTAATCTTAAAGAAGATGCAACACAACAAGGCATATTATGTGCAAGGGAGAAATTATTTTATTTATTTGTATGAAACACATTACAACATAAATATAGGGTTAGATTAAAGCGATGAATGGCCGAGATTATGATTGTCAATAATGAATCATGAATATAAAAAATGAACCATCGGTAGTAGTGCGCGAGCAATGCCTGTATATTCTCTTGATTTGTTAATAAAAAATATTATGAGGAATTTATATTATGATAATATTGTAGTTTATTTCTAAAAAAATTGTAATGACAATCGTTGTTTAAAATTGTGCACTATGAGACGTGCCCATAACTCTTTCTTTTCTTGATATGTTGGCATGATGATAGCCTATCATATATCATCTTAAAATATAAGAGATGCTCACATGTGTGCTTGTGTTGCCAAGTGCATTCTATGTCAATATGATCCGTTTTATCAGTTCCCATGTTTGAGGTTTTACATCTCCATGTATGAGCTCAATACTTGGATAGTAGAAGGGGAACTAGACATCACAGAGAAAGTCGTTGATGAGATCAAATGAACTTGGACACACCTGAGTTAGTAATCTGATGGCTGTTTGATGTTTAAAATAGGAGCTTGATCAGTATGTTTTTAACAATCACAACGATATTAATTCTTCAAAATCTATTGAAACATCATATTTGGTGAAAGATTCATAGTATATTTTTAGATATATGGTGAAGTTATAAAAGAGATAATGGAGCATTTAGTGGTGCATGTTATTACTGACAATACCAGTGCTTGCATGGTAGCATAAAATACGTTGATAGAGCAGAAATCATACGTCTTGAACTTTATGTGCACATTGCACTTGAAAAACTTGGAGAGTTGATTCAACATAGGTACATCTTAACCAAACCAAATAAGATTAATAAGTTAATCTGCAATCATAGTTATGAGTTGGCTTTGATGAGAAAGTATTTTAAGAAAAAAACTATTAAAATTTTCTACAATTAGATTTGTGATGGCCTATTTGACAGGACCTATTTGACTCTGCGAAGCATGTTGGAAGAAAGAAACTTTTGGAAGCTATGTTTATCACCGGACAATGGTTAAACTATGATTGGGCTAAGCAACCTGAAGTCACAAAGGTCAGAAAAATTATTTTGAATGATGGGTGGTTTTGTTCAAGTGTTAGTTATGGCATAAGAGCAACTAAGCCATTTTTTCAAATTTTATGAATAATTGAGGTGGAGAAAAAGCTCTCTGTGTTTCATTTATAATGTGATTGACAAAACTAAAGAATTGATGATAAGACAACTTAGGAGGAAAGAAATCCATTTACAAGAAACTTTGAGAATTAATTGTTAAGTGGAAGCCTAAGCTTCATCATCATTTGCGCGCATTAGGATAATATTTTAATTCTCTATTTCAATATGCTATGAGAATCTCAATTAATTATGAGTTCAAATTTAATTTATTGTATTGTATAAATATACAGATAGCCGACTTAATTGAGGAGGCAATCTTATCTATATTTTGTAACATTTTGAAATAAGGAAGGGCTCTTTGAATTATTACAAACTAAATATATAATTAAAAAATATTTCTGTTATAATTTTTATCATTTTTTAGTTCATGTTCCAACAAATTTGCATGCTATTATAATTATATATTTTTTCCAAAACTAGTTGAATGGCAGGTTCAATTTTGAAATAACAGTTCAGAAGTACAGTGATTTGTTATTTAAATATTGGGTCTTATATGAAGTCATATTTAGTGTGAGTGAAATTAAGGTACATATAGCTAAGTTCATATCAAAATGAGAAATTGTTTGACTGCCTTAATGATGAATTTTTTTTTATTATATACATCAAGAGATTAAAGGATAAATATTTGAAGAGAAAATGCTTTAAAAAAGGATGATTATTCGTTGTTTCATTATAATGTGCCATGGGAATGTTCTGTGGTGGATGGCAAGGAAGTTATACCATTAGATTTGCAAGAACTTCTCCTTGTTGATTTTTCGATGGAGGCAAAGATTGTAGTTTCAACACAAGTTAATAAAAAATTAACAGAAAAAGGTTCTATTAAAATTTATATAATTGAGGTTATACCATCAATATACTCATTGTTTTAAATTTTGATTAATATTCTTATTAGTTTTTATTGATTAAGGAATGGGAAGATGATTGAGATTGAAGATGTGAAGGAAGATTGAGATAATAATATCTACACAATTGAGGATGAGACATGAGAGAAATTAGTTCATTATAATGATTATTTTAATGAGGTTCTACTAAGTCACGAGAGTGTTGGAGACTTTTAATTTACAAAATTCAATATTAGCGGCCTAGATTACTTGTTAATGCTGATTTGGGAGTGGAAAAGACTTATTGTGATGAACTTACATTTATTGTTATGTTTATATTTTGTTATTTTTCTTTGATGTTTGCTTGAAATTTCTTCCTTCATGATTTTGGTATTAAGATGTTAGTATGACACTATTTACATTATAGTTTGATGTTAGTATGATAATTTTATCTTACGTAAATCACTAGGCTATTGAATCCATTAGGTAATGATTCCTATATTGAAAAAGTGTATGCTGTTATTTTATTTTTTTCCTCTATTCTATATCTATTCGATATTATATTAGAATATTATAAGATTAGAATATTATAAGAATATTATAAACCCTATTTTTTCAATATAAAATCAATATAAAATGATTTTATCATTGATCTATCCGCAATTCAATATGGATAGATATATACCACATATATATCTATGCCTTTCCTACTTCATTTTTACAGTGTCGTTTTGAATAGTGGAACGGTTACTTGGACCAAAGGTAGCACAAGTGAGGTTGTGACCTCATGCTTGAATCAATTGAAATGAACATATTAATGGGATTGTTGGCCGTGCTCACAAACTTAATATTAACAGTATGGTGGTAGATATATTAGTTGCACAAATCACAATTAATATCTCTATGGAGTAACAATCAAGAATGATGCATATTCACGTTAGGATTTAAACTCATCTTGGTTATTTTGATCTGGGTGATTAAGACTCTAAAATAAAGATAAATTGCGAACTCCTGTTTATTATTTTTTCAATTAGATTATCACGTGAATCTATTTTGTTTTGGGTCTATTAATTGTCATTTGGGTTGTAATTTTTGTTTGAATATTGAAGCTAAAAAGTCTAGATTTTTAGTTCAGATCAATGACAATGTGTTGATTAATGAGTTAAGTTCAATTCATATCTAGTTGAAATTATTTTGGTCCAAGATTGGATCTAGGATAGAAAACTCATTAGAAAACCCTAAGAAAACTGAAAATCATAAGTGTCCCATGAAAACTCAAATAAAACCCCATTTGCAGGAGCAACAGACACACCAAGTACATGTCTGTCAACTTTTTGAAATTTGAAAATAATTTTGAAATTTAATTTAATGTAACAGTTATATAGTTTGGGTTTTAAAAGTAGCTTGTTTTAATTTTTGAAAAATGAGATCAAATGAATCTCATTCGTTCAATAGTTTACATAATCGTGTTTGATACCGTAATTACTACACATTTCAGAAAGATAAGTGTATATCCCGACGATAAACCTAATCCTGCAAACTAAGAGATTTGTGACATCCATTTGGTCTGCGAACCTTTTATATGTGACCGACAAGTTTCCCTACCTAATATAAAGATAATATAAAGATCTACCTAATATAAAGATTAAGTAGGGTTTATTTTACCTGGGTTTCAAGCTCCCTATAGAGACAAATTTCTATTGTTAATTACATCCCAAATGACGGAGGGTCACTTGAGAAAATTCTCGATAATGATAAGAGGTATTAGGCTTCAAGAAGGTTTAGGTTTTCATGGTAGGACGTGGAAAGACAAATGAGAGTGACTCAAATATGAACAGTTATTTTCAGGAGTTCAAAAGGAGGAAAATGTAGGGGATGCCGCAGATCCTGAGGAGGAACCTCAATGACTTCCCAAACTATCATAATGTGTGGTTGAGTTTTAAAGACGATATTATTTAGGTGTTTGATCTTGCTAATTTTATTATTTGAGACTTAAATTTGTATAATATCTGATTACGCAAATAACCCGTGGAGATAAGAGGGTTTACGTCGTGTCACACGACAACTTGGAACCTAAGACGAGTTGGGAGTTACACTGCACAACATGATTGTACAGAAGTCTAAAAAGGGTGTGATGATTTAATTCGCACTGGGCGAGCCACCTCGAAGTCTTATGGGTTGTTATTATGCTAAGAAGTGATAATGTTGAAGAAGACCCTCTTATCACTTGATACAAACTCCTTGCCGTGTTGTCCACAAAGTTAGCTCCAAGCTCTTGTTGTAGCGATAACTCTA